ATTCATGTATGCAAACAATTCAGAGAAGGTGGGGAGGGGGCAAACTAAAGAAATAGAAAGGAAAAAAAAAAAAAAAAAAAAAAAAAAAAAAAAAAGAAGGAGTCCACTGCAAAGCACTTATCCAAAAAAGGACCGATGCAATATACCAGATTATATGTAGAAAAAATGGTAAGTTTATTGTATCAAAAATATAACTGACAATTACAAAATTTAATAAAATGCAAAATACACATTCATCACCATACCCCAGACAACATTGTCTGTCCCCATTAAAATAAAATCACTATATATCACTTGTGGCGATTTGTTAGGGCTAAGTAGAAAGATTGTGAATTATTCACTAATTTTGCTATTTGCCAAAGTAGATTGCCTTTCGGGGGAGTTACACACTCATTTGGGGCAACCACTTCTATAGAGCTATGGTGACTGCGACAAAAAAGGTGAACCTCTCTCAAAAAGGAGAACTGCAGTCAGCTATAATGTGTATAATACAGTTATGGCAAATGTGTTAAATGGCAAAGGTGGCAGTGTCAAAGCAGTCAATTTAAAATTCACATTTTGACCAAAAATAATAAATGCAATTTTTGCAGGTAAAAAAAAATTTGTATTTATTATTTTTGGTTGTAGGAGCCTGTACAGCATTGCATCAGCGATCACAGGTCACTGGTGCCATGCAGGTCTCCTGCAGACCTGACAGTATATCTGCCGATAGCCACTATGGCTGTCGGGACTTGTAGTTCATTCATTCATTCACAGAGCACTGTAAATGAAGGATGCAGCTGTGTGGGTGGAGCCCAGCGCAGCCAAGCTGTATTTAAAAAGTGACAGATAGTACAGGCAATTTATCCCCATACTTCTGTCACAAGGGGGGGCAGTAGGCAGTGGCTGTAGCATTGGGAACATATTACATGTTCCACCCTAAAATTGGGTGGAACATGCAACATGTTCCCAAAGGCAAATTTATCCTTTTACAAAAACTTATTTCCATGTAGATTAAGGCAAACGTAGTATTGCAAAAAGATGCCAGTATTTTGTAGCCAGAAATGGAAGAAGTAGTTCAGCAGAAAAGCAAGTTGAGAAAGCAGTTGTGGGAATTAAGCAACAGTGTAGATGTTTCAAGCCAATCACAGATGAGCAGATCAGTCGACCAGGTGACGCAACTCACATGCTAGGCAGAGTCACTCATTCCTCGGTCAATTTTCATACCTCTCAGGTGAATACACCATGCTTTGTGCTAGCATATGACCCACTGTATCTGCTTCACCCTGGGCCAGAGCCGTATCCTATGCATCATAGATGCCTCATGTCTTGCACTCTCACTATATTGTATTGTTGCTGCTCCTCTGAAAAGGTCACAAGACTTGTCTCTTTCCTATGTCGCATCCCTGCTCCAGGAGCCAGTTGATTTCACCCGTGATTATGTGAGGCCATATGTGACGTCACTGACGTGATGTCAACGCGTTTTCACCATTTGCAATGTCAGCTTCATCAGGACCAATGAGATGCTTCTCTTTTTGACACTTTATAACAGTGGCTCCACCCAACTCTAAGTCTATGTGTCTTAAAAACAACATGGTTACAATTATATCTAAAAGGATCAGATTACCTGTGATTTAAAATTAATCGTTTACATAGGACAGCATAGCTTAAATTAAGGTTGCTATACCATCAACCACTTTAAGTTTACAGACAGATCCCACATGGCATTATCTACAGTAATGATACTTTTTTTTTTTTTTTTTTTTTTTTAAGAATATTTATTGGGTTTTAAGTTAAAACAAGAGCAAAATGGTAAGGCAGTTATGACAATGTTACAACATTTCTAATCAAAGATATAATATTGCGGCAAATAAAAATGACCTTAGAGTGATGGTAGTGGTTAGGAAAGGGCATTGATATGATACTAAGGTATAAAGTTTGCATACGTGAATAGCGAAGAAAGTGGTGTGAGGAAGTGGTAGGCAAGAGGTTTGTGTGTAGATAAGGAAAAAATAATAGCCAGTGGGAATTATGCATTCCGGACTTGATATGATGTTGTGATTTGCCAGTAGATGATGTTGAATGGTTAAGATGTACGCAGATGTCATCTGTTACCCACCAATAAAAACATGTCCAAAAGAAGGTAAAGAGAAAGGAATTATCTGAGAGTTTGGTGGTGGAAGTAGGTGAAAATGGTAAAGAAGTAAAGTAAGAAAAGAGAAAGTAGGAGAAGGGGGGAATTGTGAACAGATGAAGTAATCAGTGTGGATGAGATTGTTGAAGAATGATGATAGGATGGTATAGCAGCTGAAGTCAAGGAGCATAGAGAAGTAGGAAGAATTTTACCCTTGGGGCCTAGATAGAATGGAGAGAGATGAAAAACTGAGGGGGAAGAGGAAAAGAGATGAAAACCAGTGATTAGTAATTACGGGTTCCACCATGAGTAATGTGGAAGAAGTGTCACCCTCCAATTGACTGATGTGGGTCTGTGTTGTGATGATAATGTGAGTGTGTATATAAGCCTAAGTCAAGAGAGTAGAGATAGAGGTCAAGATACAGATGAGGTGAGGATGGAGAGGGAGTAAATGAGAGAAGAAGAGAAAGTGACAGTAAAACATTGCACATGACCAACTTAGTCAGCTAGATGATAGTTCCAATACCACCGACTTCGTGGGGGTTTCATTGGACGAGTTAAAAGGTTAGAATTCTGAATAAAGAAGGCCTGCTCCTGTACGGATAGGGATCCTGTAATATAGGAGTTCCACTTTTGGAAGTAATGGGATTCTTTTGAAGTAGTCAGGGAGGTGATTAGGTTGAACCTGTCCAGACATAGAAATGAGTTGAGCTCTTATTTGAGGTCTGTCATAGTTGGAGGGCACTTGGAGACCCATTTTCGGAGAATGACCAGTCTTGCTATTAGGAGGTATGTTGATATCCAAGATTTGTTATTTTTGAAGGATGACATTTGTGAGAAGAGACCAATGACTGGCTGTTCCATAAAGCCGAAGAGTAGCGGAAGCGGGTGGATGGGTAGTTGGAAAGGTAGTGATAACAGATATGAAATTGACCACTTGCTTCCAGAATGTGGAAATAGCAGAACAGAGCCAGAATCTATGTTGTAATGATGGTTTTTGAGTTCGGCATAAAGGGCAGGTAGACAGAGCCGGGTTAGTTTTGGAGTAGAGGACAGGGCATGTAGGCGCGGTGGAGAACCTTAAGCTGTTCAAGCCAGAATTCATTGTGATTGAAGGCACATGTGGAATTGAAGCCTGATAGTAATTGGTCAGCTGTGAATGCGTTATTGAAATCTTTGACCCAGGATTTCACAGCATTGAATGTCTCACAAGGTTTGGCATATAGAAGGTTCAGTGGTCTATATATGTTTGAAATGTTGTATTTTCGAGGGTTCGCCAAGACATCAATAAATGTCGACTGAAATCTAGTAGATTTAGTGGGTGAAACGGAGTTGACAAAGTGCCTTACTTGAAGCATATAGAAGAAGTGATATGCTGGAAGTCCGTAGGTTTGTAGGACACTGTTAAGAGGTTTTGGGGAACCCATAGAGGTGTCATAGAATTGTTTGTACCAAAGTTAGGTTTTGAACTCACCAAGTGTCATAAGCATTGTAGGATTGTGGAGGAGGAAAGGAAAGGTTATTGTGAATAGGAAGAAAGCGTGAGAGCCACGGAGAGACCCCTAGTTTACGCCTGACTTCCCTCCCTGTAATAAGGGTAGGATACTTTCTTAACCAGATGTTCATAACTAATGTAATGACTGGAAGAGGAATAGCCTTTTTATGACTGAATATCTTGGAGTAAAATTCAAAAAATGCATTGATTTTCCAAAAATACCTGAAGGTTCAATTCCACATTCAAACTTTTCGGATACAGTGTCCAATTTATATATCCACATTTCTTCACATTTTAGCAGCAATCAAAATCTCCTCTCTTTGGAGGGCAAAGAACCCTTTTATTTTTGTACCATCCAATTTACTTTGATGGAAATTTAGAAAGTGTTGGGCTAGGTGACTATCAGGCTCTTTAGAATGTATGTCCCTAAAATGTTCCCCTATTCTAATTTTTAATTGCCTCTTCGTTTTATCTACACTATACTATTACATGGGCACGTGATCATATACATTACCCTTATGGTAGAACAATTCAGTCTGAATTTTATAGTAGGCTTGATTTTCTGAGTCTGAAAAATGTGTGTCCAATCTACATTGTGGCATATTTGACATTTGCCACATTGAAACATTCCTTTTGAATGAGGGAATAGAGATAACCAAGTTGGATCTCTGATTGCGTTATACTCTGTGTGAATTAGCAGGTCCCCAAGATTTGGTAGTCTTCTGGCTACCATTTGTGGGTAATCACCCACAATTTTTTTCAACTTTGGACATTCAGTCAAAACTCTACAGTGTTTCTCAAGGATTTTTTTTATTTTTATTTTATTTAATTGAGCACCAAATCTGGTGATCATCCTTACGGATTGTGTTTTCTCCTCTTTTTTTCACTCCAATCATACCTAGATGTTTTTGGGGGGCTAATGTTTCTCTGTTCATATACCCTCTTTCTTGGCTTTTTTTTTTTTTTTTATGAGTGAGAGCACCCAAGTTCTTTACAACCTTTTGTACAATCCTCTTGCTTCTTTTCTGAATTGATATCCAAACAATTCCTACATCTCAAAAACTGTCCTATAGGGATCCCATTAATTAGAGCTCAAGGACGGTGGCTTTCCACTTTGGAGAAGCATGTCTGCTGCTGTAGGTTTGCAATAAGTTCTAGTAGACAGCCTTCCATACCTGATCCTAATAGTGAGACTGAGAAAAGAAATCTCATGACAGTCATATGTGCAGGTCAATCTAATATTCAATGAGTTTGTGCTCAGTTCATCAATGAATTCATTAAGTTTCTCAATACTCCCCTTCCAGACAATGAGGACATAGACCAGAGACTGCGGACACAGTACAGGAGATGGACCAGAGACTGCGGACACAGTACAGGAGATGGACCAGAGACTGCGGACACAGTACAGGAGATGGACCAGAGACTGCGGACACAGTACAGGAGATGGACCAAAGACTGCGGACACAGTACAGGAGATGGACCAGAGACTGCGACACAGTACAGGAGATGGACCAGAGACTGCGGACACAGTACAGGAGATGGACCAGAGACTGCGGACACAGTACAGGGATGGACCAGAGACTGCGGACACAGTACAGGGGATGGACCAGAGACTGCGGACACAGTACAGGGGATGGACCAGAGACTGCAGACATAGTACAGGGGATGACCAGAGACTGCAGACATAGTACAGATGACCAGAGACTACAGACAGTAAAGAAGATTACCAGAGACTGCGGACCTTTGGGGAGGGAGGGGGAAAGGAATGTCGTGTCCCAGAAGACGCCGGACCATTCACAAAGCGCAACGCTTCTCGCGCATGCGCAGTGGGCACCCGGCTGTCACAGAAGCTGCCGCGGGAAGACTGCAGCGCTGGAGCTAGGAACAGGTAAGGTCCTGCAGGAGAGAAGAGCTGAGCGGCCGGCCCGATATTCCGACATGGTGGCGGCAGAAATACCAGACAGGCCGCTTTACATTCCCTCCATAAGACGCACTGATATTTTCCCCCCTTTTTTGGGGGGGAAAAAAGTGCGTCTTATGGAGCGAAAAGTACGGTACATGTTGTTTCTCCCAGTTCCCCAAATGGAGGCAAGTGTAGGACGGTGCCACCTCAATAGGTCCCTCTATTATTATTATACATAGCTCCAACAGTTTGCGCAGCGCTTTTCAAAATTAAGGTAGACAGTACAGTTACAATACAATCTGGTACAAGAGGAAACAGAGGGCCCTGCTCATTAGAGCTTACATCCTAGGAAAGTCTGTTAATAGTAACAGCTATTGAACTGGAAAGATGTAAGATTCAAGGTTGGGTACCATTTCCTTCAGAACAACTCTCTAGCAGTACACAACAAACTGAGCATGTGCACAGTGTCCCTGAGGCTATGTTCTATCAAGAGATGAAATGGGGAACATAGAAGGGGAGGATCAAACATCCTTTTTTTACACAAGCCAGAGGATTAACCCTTCAGGTTTCACAGTGAGTATAACAAGCATGCTTTACTGCATATACAGACTGATTATACTGTTATGGGTTTAGTAACACTAAGAAAATCCAGTTTACTTTTGGTGAGAAGACAAGCTTCTCTAGCAAAGGTCAGTTTAGAATTAAGCTTTTCCACTAAGATGGGAAATGGATAGTCAGATAATTTAAGTTATGTATTTGAATCCCTTAGTTGACGATTGACCACTCACTTAAAATTACATTACCCCCCCTTATCACTCCTCTTAATGGACTATGTTACTTGATTCCCTCAATTCACTGAGTGCTTTCCTTTCATTTTTTTGGAGATCATCTATAGGTGGCATTTTCTAAATTTGTACGTTTTAAATCAGCAGATACAAAGTCTAAGAACAGACTAATCCATCTATAACTTCTGACGGTAGGCATTCTAGTTGAATTTATTTTAAAGGTCTACTCTTCTCAGGGTTTGAATATCTTGATACTCTTCCACTTACTCATCTATACTTCCTTCCGTATACAGGGACATCAATAAATATATTTATCCTCTGTTAATTCTTCTCTCCAGAAAATTTTCTCATTTCTTTCATATGAAAGTCTAAAGAAAATCTTCCTCAAAAATAGGTTAAAACCCTAAATACCTCACTCATTCATCCTAGTAACTGGGGCAAAAAAACATCCCTCCACTCAACAGCTGAATAGGTCTTTAAGTGGGAATTCAGAGAGAATAATTACTTTATGGTCATTTGATGCCTAAACTACTGTTTCCTCTGACTCATTGTTCTTCCCCTTTCCTCCTGAACATCCTTTCCTCTGAGGGTTTCTTCCCTTTTTTGTATTTTCTATCTTTTTTTCCCTGACTGGATGGCCCTGATTTACTATTGTGCCTGGGCGCATATCCGTGGGCGAACATCTAATTTTTACGAGCGACCGTCTACTTTTACCCCGCTAAGAGATTTACTATTGAGCAGCGTCGTCCATAAGTAGATGCCCAATCGAATTTACTAACGAGACACACACCAGGAATCAGACATACCTCTTACCAAGTCTGCTTTGTGAGTCTAACACCATGAAAAATCACTGCAGAGACATGTTCACTTTGAAATTTGCTTTGCCAAATATCAGGACTTCACTTTAAACAATATCTGCCAGTTCAAAAAAAATTAAGAATGTGTTAAAAATAGTTTTTTTTTAAAGCAAATCAACACAGTAAAAAACTAGATGCCCGTGCAGTGTCTTTGGCCGATATACATGCGCATGTGCAGAACACATTTTAGACGTCCTCTGTGGGTGCTTGCTTTTTAGCCACTGCTCTATAGTAAATCTCAGTATGGATTCCCCTGACAGCCGACACTCGGTAGCATCTCCTGTATTAAACAAACAGCACTAGGCATATCTTTATGTATTCTAATTTGATTTCCTAAGTTCTAGAGATTCTATTTTTGTTTCTTATCCTTTATAATTATTTCCGTAATGATTTTACTTATTTCGAAGGTCTAGATAATATTTATTTTGACAGCTGAATGTAAAAATAAAAAAAGGTCCGCAATTAAAAAAAAAAAAAAAAAAAAAAAAAAAAAAAAAAAAAAAACCAGCGTGGGTCCCCTCTCATCCATACCATCCAAGCCCTTCAGCTCTGGTATGGATATTAAGGGGGAACTCCACGCCGAGATTTAATAAAAAAAAAAAAAAAAAAACAGTGTGGGGACCCCCTCAATATCCATACCAGACCCTTATCCGAACATGCAGCCCGGCAGGTAAGGAAAGGGGAGGGGACGAGCAAGTGCCCCCCCCCCCTCCTGAACTATACCAGGCCACATGCCCTCTACATGGGGGGGTGCTTTGGGGCAGGGGGGCTCCCCCCCCCCCAAAGCACCTTGCCCTCATGTTGATGGGGACAGGGGCCTCTTCTCCACAACCCTGGCCGGTGGTTGTGGGGGTCTGCGGGAGGGGGGCTTATCAGAATCTGGAAGCCCCCTTTAACAAGGTGGCCCCCAGATCCCAGCCCCTCCCACGTGAATGAGTCTGCGGTACATCATCCCGCGACTCATTCACAAAAAAAACAGTGTGGTGTAAAACATGGGGACAAGGTGCTTTGGGGGGGGTAGCCCCCCATGTTGAGGGAATGTGGCCTGGTATGGTTCAGGAGGGGGGGGGGGGGGGGGGGACGCTCGCTCGTTCCCCCCCCCCCCGCGCTTTCCTGACCTGCCGGGCTGCCATGCTCGGATAAGGGTCTGGTATGGACTTTGGGGGGATCCCCAAGCTGTTTTTTTAATTTCGGCGTGGAGTTACCCCTTATATCCATACCAGACCCGAAGGGGCTTGGTGTGGATGGGAGGGGGGGACCCCATGCCGTTTTTTATTTATTATGGTGCTGGTTTTTTTTAAATGTAAATTTTCCATTTTTTTTCTTCACTATAGCTCAGAAAATT